TAATCATTAACAGAACAGAACAAAAAATGAAAGGCCATCTATTAAGGAAATGACATTTTAGTAACAGAAAAAGTTCTTTAAAAAAGAACAACTGTGATTCAGAAATCATTGTCTACAATGAATGTGTTATTGAGATCATTTGATGCCTTAGGAAAAGAACTGTATTTTTTTAAAAGTAAAGTATGACTCGCATAACACTTATTATATAAAATATAGCCTGCTGATACAATAAGAACTCAATTCCTCTTTTTTTGAGACAAAATCGGAAATAGTTTCCTATTTTATTTATTTTTAAATGGGAGCAGCTACTTTGGTCTTTTGTCATCATGGGGGACATCTTAATACACGTACTCATTCAGAGGTTCTCCTTCGGTATACAATTTATCCGTCATCATCTGTATTGTGCCGTTTCAATACAGTAAGTTGAAAAAATATCATTAAAGGACCACTCTAGGCACCCAGACCACTTCAGCTTAATGAATTGGTCTGGGTGCCTGGTCCAGCTAGGGTTAACCCATTCTTTTATAAACATAGCAGTTTCAGAGAAACTGCTATGTTTATCAATGGGTTAAGCCTTCCCCCATTCCCTCTAGCGGCTGTCTCATTGACAGCCGCTAGAGGCGCTTGCGTGCTTCTCACTGTGATTTTCACAGTGAGAGCACACCAGCGTCCATAGGAAAGCATTGAGAATGCTTTCCTATGCGACTGGCTGAATGCGCGCGCAGCTCTTGCCGCGCGTGCGCATTCAGCCGACGGGAAGGAGAGAAGGAGGATCGGAGGCGGAGAGCTCCCCGCCCAGCGCTGGAAAAAGGTAAGTTTTAACCCCTTTCCAACTTCCAGAGTCGGGCGGGAGGGGGACCCTGAGGGTGGGGGCACCCTCAGGGCACTATAGTGCCAGGAAAACGAATATGTTTTCCTGGCACTATAGTGGTCCTTTAACCCCTTAAGGACGGAGGGCGTACTATTACGCCCTGCAGGAGCCGGCTCTAAACGCCGGCGGGCGTAATAGTACGCCCTCACTTTAATGGCCGCCCACGTGGCCGGCGCTATTCGCCCGCTGCAGATCGCGGTCGGGGGGGATGCCCGGCCCCCCAGGCAACCCCCCCTGTGGCCGGGGACCGCGATCTGCAGTCACTGATCGCAGTGACAGGCTGTCACTGCGATCAGTTTTTAACGTGTGTCAGCCGATTTCAAATCGGCTGACACACGTGGCCGGCGGCTTTCTGCAATGCAGATCGCGGTCGGGGGACTTACCTGGCCCCCCAGGCAGTCCCCCTGGGGTCAGTGACCGCGATCTGCTGTCTGAGATCGCAGTGACAGGCTGTCACTGCGATCTCAGAGCGCTCTGATCGCAGTGACAGCCTGTCACTGCGATCAGTGTTACATGTGTCAGCCTATTGGCTGACACATGTAACTGGCACAAAGATCCCCCTGCAGATTGGAAGGGGGGAGTGCTTGTACCACCCAGGCACTCCCCCCTGTGGCCAATTACCCAATCTGCAGGAGGTGATCACAGTGACAGGCAGTCACTGTGATCACTGATCCTGTGTGTCAGCCAGTGATGTAAAATCACTGGCTGACACTGTCTCTGCCCCCTGTCCTGTAATAAAAATAAAATATTAGTTAAAAAAAATTACAGTTAAATATAAAATATACTTAGATCATATATATTATATATATATATGATCTAAGTATATATATATATATATATATATATATACACACACACACACATTTACACATACACGAAGTGTATTTAAATATTAATATATATAATTATTTATATATATTACTATCAAATTACACGTAGACTAATACTGATTAAATATATATATATAATTATTGTTATATATATATATATATATTTATATATAATATAAAAAAATGTAAATAAGTAAAAAAAATAAAATTAAAAAATAATTAAAAATAAATAATAAAAAAATATATAGATGTTTGTTATTTCGTTCTAACTGTATTGTGATATTAATATATATATATTTATATCAAAATACACGTAGAATGAAATAATATATATATATATACATAAATATATACATATATATCACTAAATATATACACCTATATATAAATAAAAATATTTTAAAAAATTATATATATATATATATGTATATATACACATATGTATATATATACATATATTAATTCTACACATATATTTATGTAATATTTTTACATAATTAGGTATCCTAATTAATTACAATTAGCGGACCTGCCTGACAACCCATGCCGAAAGTATAGGGAATTTAATTTGCTAGCACTATATTTAACCCTATAACTTTCCAAGACACCATAAAACCTGTAAATTAGGGGTACTGTTTTACTCGGGAGACTTCGCTGAACACAAATATTAGTGTTTCAAAACAGTAAAATGTATTACAACAATGATATTGCCAGTAAAAGTGAAGTTTTTTGCATTTTTCATGCACAAACAGCACTTACACGGATGATATTATTGCTGCAATACTTTTTACTGTTTTGAAACACAAATATTTGTGTTCAGCTAAGTCTCCTGAGTACAACAGTACCCCTCATGTACAGGTTTTATGGTGTTTTCAAAAGTTACAGCGTCAAATATAAGGCTTGCGTTTCATTTTTTTCACATTAAAATTCGCCAGATTGGTTACGTTGCCTTTGAGACCCTATGGTAGCCCAAGAATGAAAATTACCCCTATGATGGCATACCATTTGCAATAGTAGACAACCCAAAGTATTGCAAACAGGGTATGTCCAGTCTTTTTTAGTAGCCACTTAGTCACAAACACTGGCCAAAATTGGCATTTTTGCATTTTTCACACAAACAGATACTAACGCTAACTTTGGCCAGTGTTTGTGACCAAATGGCTACTAAAAAAGACTGGACATACCCCATTTGCAATACCTTGGGTTGTCTACTATTGCAAATGGTATGCCATTATGGGTGTAAATTTCATTCCTGGACTACTATACAGTCTCAAAGGCAACGTAACCAATCTGGCGAATTTCAATTTCAAATGTAACGTGCTATATTTGACCCTGTAACTTCCCAAAACGCTATAAAACCTGTACATAGGGGGTACTGTCTTACACGTGAGACTTTACTAAATACAAATATGTGTATTTTATTGCAGTAAAATCAAAGAGTATTATGACACTGACCTTTAAAATGCAATTTAGAACTAAAAAAATCAAAAAAATCGTATTTTCTCCCATTTTTTTCATATTAAATTATGTTTCATAGCTAAATATTTGATATTAAATGAAAGCCCTGTTTCCCCTGAATAAAATGATATATACTAAGGGTGGGTGCATTTAATATGAAAGAGGTGAATTACGGTTGGACAGACATGTAGCGCAAATGCCAGGTTTTGTTTACATTTTGTTTCGTTCACACTGTGTACATTTGGCTCCGTCCTTAAGGGGTTAATCTAAACATGTAAATAACAACATTATGCTCACATAAATACAATGTTGTTGTATTTCAATGCTCTTTTAGGAAGCTGCATTCCCCAAAATACCAGAATTGCTCATTAAACTTAAAGATTAACAGGCTCTCCCAGATGTTGTGGGAATATAATTCCCTTTAATTCCCTGCAAGAATGTGTCTGTAGAATTAAGGGATTTGTAGTTCATCAAAGGATTGGGGGCTGCTGTACTTCTGCTGTTTTCTAGCACTTTCCAGTTTTTACAATATATATAAAATCCCTTTTGTCCTGTACTCGAAAGCTCCCTGTCATGTCAGTGCCTCGGTGCAACCTCTGGCCTTTGTATAAGATACCTTGATGTAGAGCACTCACAGGACGCTTAATGATGATAAGATGTTTTTATTTCAGCAAGAATTCACAAATCAATATTGTCAGTGTCGACGTTTCAGTCCAACTGTACTTTGATCTGCCCATAAATGGCACACTGCAAGGCCAGCAAACAGGACTGCACAGCTGGAAAAGTACTTACTGAAATTGTTTCAGAATGTAAATAGACTATCTGCATTTTTCTACAATACCAACCTACAGTAAATACAGTAAATTAGAAATCATATTTCTAATATAAATGTATTTAACACTGCTCTAGTAATCTTTATCACTCTCTGGACTGCTAATGTAATGCTAACAGTGAAATGGTAAAGTCCATTTGATCATCTTCCTCCCTGACTGTAGGAATGATATGACTCATTGAAACTTCCTTAAGCTGTTTGGAAGTAGGGCCTGAGTTTACATTTTAAAGGCACACTATAGTTACGAAAACAACTTAAGCTTTATAAAGCGGTTTATATGAATAGATCATGCCTCTGAAGTTTCACTGCTCAATTCACCGGCATTTAGGAGTTAAACTGCTTTTGTTTCTGTTTATGCAGTTCTAGCCACACCTTCCCTGGCTGTGATCAACATATCATATAACTTTAAAAGTTTTTATCTTCTGCTCTGTAAATTGAAGTGAAATGGGTAGCGGTACAATCTTCGTCTGGGTTCGCGGAATCGCGTGGCTGAAGTTAGTTCCAGGCGTTCGACGACCATGTATTGCTGCCTGCGTTTGGGAGATAAATTGGCCGTGCATTTCGTTATACGAATGGCGGCCACCCAGGGACTGCACTCGAGTTAATCACTTGATTGTGGTTAACAGCCAGGGGTGGTCGGTGTTCAAGAAGGTATAAAAAGGGAGACCACACACCAACAGAAGGGAATAAGTCTCCTACAGTGTTTACATTAGATGACTCTTTACAGGAAGTGTTTAGGAAGGCTGTGTAAGTCACATGCAGGGAGGTGTGCCTAGACCTGCATAAACAAAATTATAAGTTGATTTAAAGTTGGTTTGGTGACTATAGTGTCCCTTTAAGCAAACTTTCAGGCATCATATCTGTTACTTATGGCTGGTAGAAAAACTAGTCCCTCTAAGGAATCCTTCCTAGAATATAAAGTATAAATAAGGGTGAGTGTGACTTTATGGAAGTGGATAAATACTACTGGGATGTATTTGCTAAATTGGTAAGTATGGAAAATAGTCAATGACATTGCAAATTATAGGCCAGAAAAACTAGTTGGAAAATGTGTATATATATACACATTTTCCAACTAGTTTTTCTGGCCTATAATTTGCAATGTCATTGACTATATATATATAAAACAGAAAATTAGCAATTTCTAAATAATTCATTTAATTCCCAGGTGTGCATCTCAATACATTGATGGCTGTATGAGTCTATGCCTCTTCTTTTGTACCTGAAATTAGATTTTCATGTGGATTCCCAGCTCAGTTTCTACTTCAATTACCAGTATATTGAAGGGATCTCCACTGCCATTTTATCAGATTGCAAGCTCATTTTCACTTCAAAGTATTCTATATAACAACAATCAAGCAGGCCAGTGTATTGAAAACTGATGTTAAATGAGCACTATAGGGTCAGGAACACAAACATATATTTCTGACCCTCTAGTGTTAAAACCACCATCTAGCCCCCCTTGCCCTCTCTTGCCTCCGTAAATATATATATATTGTATTCAAGCCTGAAGCTGCTGGCTCTGCCCCTTTCTGGCTCAGAATAGAAAGCTGTCTGCTGACATCATCGGAAGTGTTGTTCTGAAATCACAATGCCTCCCCATAGGATTGGCTGAGACTGACAAAGAGGCAGATCAGGGGCAGAGCCAGCATGATTCAAACACAGCCCTGGCCAATCAGCATCTCCTCATAGAGATGAATTGAATCAATGAATCTCTATGAGGAAAGTTCAGTGTCTGCATGCAGAGGGAGGAGACACTGATATGTTGTGATGCACACTAGGCAAGACTGAGATAGGAAGCAGTCCTAGCAGCCATCTAAGTAGTGGCCAGTGAAGTTATCACTAGGCTGTAAAATTGAATTTTCTTTGAAAGGACAGTTTTTACAGAAAAAAAGCCTGAAGGGTATAACTCTACTCACCAGAACAAATACAATAAGCTGCAGTTGTTCTGGTGACTATAGTGTTCCTTTAACCTTTTTGCAAACAGTAAAGGTAGACCAGTAATGTATTAAACAATATTTTACTTTGTCCTCCAAGAACCTTAAAGGGAATCTGTCACTACCCAGGATTTTCAGCATTTTGTTTTCTTTTCAAATATGTTTTGTGAGATCTGAAAAAATAAACTAAATGAAGAAATCTACACATCAAGTGTCACCTGGAAGCCTCTTTGTTGACTTATTTTTCAATTGTTTTATAACTATTATTTTATAATATAATTTAATGTTATAAACATCACCCTTTTAATGCCATTGAACATAGTTATTCAATGAAACTAAAACAATCTCCCCCCCTCATTTGCATTGCTTGCCTTTGCTGTGTCTGAACTGAACTAAATTGTGATGTCACTACAAAGGTTCTCAACCTGTGGCTGTGATATGCACTACATATGCGATATACCACAACCTGGAGGTTTGCGCACCACATGCAGCCACCTCCTGGTAGGGCCCCCCAGGAGGCAAAACACTGTGCACTAAGGCAGAGTAGGCACCTGCATACCTGCATGGCAGGTGCCTACTCTGTCCAAATACAGTGTCCAGGTGGAGAATGCAGGTGGCGAGGTAGCTGTAATCTTCATGATCTTCTAGCACTGCTCTCTTGCACCCTATGGTGATGCCAGGAGCTAGGCTATGACATAGCCCTCACCCTCACTAAACAGTGTGCAAGGGAGGAATGCTAGAAAAGCATGAAAATTAAAAACTCCCAGGGAAAGGATCTACACTGGACCCCAGGGAAAGGATCTACACTGGACCCCAGGGAAAGGATCCCCACTGGACCCCAGGGAAAGGATCCACTCTGGCTCTCCCAAAGATAGGAAGGCTTGGTGGACTTAAATAAAAGTAATAAAAAAACAATAATGTGTAAGTGTATGTGAGACAATGTGTACGTGTCTGTCAGTGAATATGTGTGTCTATAAGTGTGTGTCTATAAGTGTGTGTCAAATCAGTGAGCATGTGTATCAAATCAGTGGGTTTGTCTGTCAGCGAATGTGTGTGTGCCTATTTGTCAAATCAGTGAGAGTGTGTCTGTCAGTGTGTGTGTGTCTCTAGTGTCCTCTGTGTGTAAATTATGTTAGTGTCCTCTGTGTGTGTCTGTGTCCTCTGTATGTAAGTGTGTATACAGAGGACACATGTCAGTGTGCAAGCAGACAGAGAATAAATGAGACAGATCAAGGTCTAGGTGGATAACAGAGATGCACAGAATCAATAGTCAGGCCAAGGTCTGGATAACAGAGAGCAAGAATAGTGAAACAAGCCAAGGTCAGAAAACAGTAATCCAATACACAGTATAAACACACACTCAGGTAACAAAAACCAAGACAGGGCAAGGAAGTAAGGACAGCCAGGAAGTATATATACTCTATACTGGGTTGTGATTGGTCACAGAAGACCATGATGTCACAAGTATATATAGATCATCAAAAAGTGCCAGATATTCTGACATCATAAAAGGAGACCAATGGAAGGGTTCCGTGTCATATATGATCTCATAATGAAGCAAGGTATGAGTGTGTGGGCATCATTACATAGAAGAGACATAACTTCTGCGCCGCGAGGGACAGGTATCATGACATTAGAAAAAGAAAAATTAGTAGTATAGTACTCCACCAAACTACTTAGAGGGAGTGGTGGTTCCCCCATGTGACTGTTTGAAGTGGTGTGGGAGAGCAGAACTTTGATCTATTTTTTTTGGTTGTGTTGGAATAACTAGCTGTGCTCATGTACGACTGTGCTTTCATCAAGATCCTGGAGAACATCACCACCGTTTTCATATGGACTCAAAGCCCAGGTAATTATGAAACCTAGCAACACCCTGTACATAGCCAGAAACGCACTCTGTGTCTCATGCCAAATCTACAAGGCTTTTTCTATAATGATACCAACTGCTACTATATGGAAATATTTACTTTGTAGGATCAGAAGTCTGGGTTAGGTTTCTATAAAGCAGGATCAAGTAGATTGACTCCGTTCATTCCACCATCTTACTTTTTTTTTCCAGTTTCCATTACTTTTTTTTGTATTTGAAACTCTTTTTCTTACATGTTCCTCCAGCATGGAATCACAGCTCTCTCCGTTTATACTCCAAAACAGTGCTACATGCTATGCTGGAGGTCTTACATCATTAGGAGATCCGTGCCACTGCCAACTATGGATTGGGTCTTCTACAAAACTACTAGTGTCAGTAACAAAGCGTTTATAGACACTAAGGAGCTCAGTAACCCTTAGGTAATGTCTGGCCTTAATGCATTTCACAGAAACTACTTTTTGTTACTTGACTGACCTGTACTGTTAAGACCTTCAGATGGATTATGTTGTAATCCTTGTGGTTACTAATTGTAGAAAGACTTATTCTCTTTACACGAATTAAAGTTAAATTATTTCAAGCTGGTGAGAGCTATTTGTTCAAAAATTAGGTTAGTGTGCACAAAGAGCAACTAGACGGTATTTATCCTTACAATCACACCATTGTTTGATTCTGTTTTGGAAAATTGGATTACCCGTGCTCTTTAACTGAAATTTCTTAGCGTACAAGATTACATTTTATATGAATCATAAATCCATGGCCTGGTATTCAATGTACACTTACCTAGTGAGAAATATAACAGATGTACAGAAGGATTGCACAGCCAAATATTCATATTCTGTCACATTCCAAGCTAAGCACTTTCTAATTACAAGTATAATGTGCAGATTGTTTTAACAAATAATTTAAGAACGAACAAAAGTGCAACTCATATATCTATGGGTAGAATTTGTGTAGGATTCACTGGGTATTGCATGACTGAGTTTTGAGTAATTATGGATGACTCATGATATGTGCTGATAAATCCTAAAACCAACAGAAATATTTGTATATTATCTGTGTGTTTTAGATAACAACAAAGAGGAATGCTCTGCACGGAGCCTATAATAGCTGGCAGCATTTCCATAACCCCACGTTCTGACATAAAAAGTTGAATAAAAATACTTTCTGCTTTACTGGAACATTTGGCCCTTAGTGCATCCTGTTAATGTAGCAGTGTGATCAGCAGCCTCTAATTTTTAGCATAGTAGTCAGGGCAGATTTCCAGTTAGGCAGAGTAGGCACCTAACCACTATGGGGTGCCTGTTTTTGGCACATATAACGTGCTTTTTTGAGCTTAAAGTGACACCATAGTCATCAAAACAAGTGTACAAATATATTCGGGGCCAGTACAAACCTTTATCTGGAAATCTATTCATAAACAGGGCTATACATACGACACAAGGTCACACATTTAGGCTGGAAGAAAGGAGATTTCATCTAAGGCAAAGAAAAGGTTTTTTTACAGTAAGAACAATAAGGATATGGAATTCTCTGCCTGAAGAGGTGGTTTTGTCAGAGTCCATACAGATGTTTAAACTGAAATTGGATAAATACTTACAAAAACATAACATACAGGGATATAATTTCTAATTAGTGGGGTAATAGCTGCTTGATCCAAGGAGACATCTGACTGCTATTTTGGGGTCAAGAAGGAATTTTTTCCTAGTTTGTAGCAAAATTGGAAGCGCTTCAGACCAGGTTTTTTGCCTTCTTTTGGATCAACAGCAACAACATTTGTGAGGAAGGCTGAACTTGATGGAAGCAAGTCTCTTTTCAGCTATGTAGCTATGTAACTATGTAACTATGTATCTTAAAGCGGCACAGTCATGGCCGAATGTAGTTTTTTTTTTAACCCCCCTCCTGACTCCACTACATCTAATTGCCCCCCTAGTCATCCCTAAATGCCCCTAAGCCCCCCATATTACCTATTTTTTTATCTTTATTTTCTGACTGGACCTAGGTCCTGGGCGCCGCCATCTTTGTGTGGGTAGATGAAGTACCTGTGGGACACGTCACCTGCCCACACTAGATAGCGCTGTGAAATTCCTGCGCATGCTCAGTTAAACACTTGGGCATTCGAACGGGAATTTAATCTATTCATTCATTCGTCAGAAAGACAAATAAATGAATAGAAATTTTAAACGAATAAACGAAGACCTTTTCGTTCGTTTGTTTAATTTATTACAAGGAGGGAGCTACCGGCTTGCAGCTCTCTCCTTGTAATATGTAAAAATAGAAGCGGCAGGGAGCAGTGCTC